GTAGCACATAACCACAACTTTAGACTCAGTTTCCTTTCCCACACTCAGCTAATGACATTGTTGATTCACTTGGTTGTAAAAGGGCGCTTATAGCTAAATCATGATGATTGTCCTGGTAACTAAATAAGATTATCCTGTCAGATCCTTATCATTCACTGATGACAGCACACAACCACCAGTAGCTATTACACTTGTGTTCCATTCTATCAGTCACTTTTCTCATAGATGAACCCAATTAAATGACAAGACACACCAACAAAAGACCACAAACTAATTGTTATTGGAAAGATATTCATGGTATGATAGGAAAGCACAAAATCCAATTAGACCTTTACTTTCTAAAGTTTGCTTAAGATATATGTAGAGAGCTAAGCATAAAAATCCACAAAATTCAACCATTGAAACAAGAAGCTGAATAACTTGGATAACCTAAAAATAAAAAATTAACAATATTTTGGAGTATAATCTAATTATATGTGACCCAAAAAGATAGAACAGGTAATATGCGGAGGGTGAGTCCAGGGAAAGGTAAGAAAGGTATCAAACAGCACAACAAAGACAAAGCTCTATGCAAGTAAAGAGCCTGGGAGTAAAGAAGCAACTACAATGAAATACCAAATGCAACAAAACTGCATTTGTATACTGAATAGATCCAGAATCTAATTACCTGTTTGGTTACTGGTTATAAATAGCAAATAATAGTAACAAGTTAATAAGTAATTTGCAAGGAAAGTCTCGTATGTCGTAACAATGTTCATGCTAATCTTTTCCAGCATCCAAGTACTTCATAGATTTCCACATTCAACCGAGAATATATATAAACATACCCATACTTGGTGATAGAATTCCAATACCATGGGCATCGACTCAAACATAGCAAATCTAGCACATACTTTTTTTTATCAAAAAAAATAAAAAAAAAAAATTACTACTACCATTTATTACCACTCACCTTACATACTGATATTGGAATTTTATCAGTTCTATAAGCACCTTATGTAGATGAGAAAGCTAGCAAAACAGACGAAATAAATCATGCTACTTGCTAAGTACTAAGTGTATCATACACCAAGTAAATTAAGTAGTGCCTGAGTGTGAGCTATTTCTCAAAGTTGTAACAAGCATATACATGAAGATAGGAGTTAAATGAATTTTCAAGAAGCCTTAGAAAGCATTTGCAACTGGTGATAGCTAAAACAACATAGTCAAACAGTACCCTAAACTACTCAGCGTTGTCCACGGTATACTAAGAGGTCTTAAGACAATGTCCTGCACTTGGATGGTAAAACCTAGTGCAGATTCTCGATAAGATTAAGCAAACATACCTCCTCTCTCTCTCTCTCTCACACAGACACTCACACAAACAACTTTCTTTTCTCTCACACACACGCACACGCACGCGCACACACTCACTCACACACACAAGTCCTACATAATTTTCCTCATAATGTCACTAGTAATTAGTAACTTTCTTTTCTCTATGTGAACTCCTTCTCTTTAATATTCCATAATGTCATTTCAGCCCAATGAAATACAATACAGCTAGTGTGAAGCTCACAAGAAAACCTATCGGATTCCATCACCAACAGCATCTAGGAAGGTATAATTTTATAGGATTTCACCTGTACCTAATGTAAAGCGGGCAAGAGATAGTTAAAGACACACTAAAATAAATGTCTACAAGAAATATGTATGTGCCCCAAAACTCTAAATGATCAGATCTTTAAATAAACTTCTTTAATATGGTCACAGGCCATCCATAGAGGCTTTAGCCGAACAAACCTCGAAAACCCATTGCTAGGTACTTTATATTCTATACACTAATCAAAAAGTGTAAATTATCGCTGACATAACAGCAAAATCCAAGAACACAGACACCTGTAAATGTCTCCTAATGTATACATGGGTCACCTGGGATCGTCCATTATTGTATTGGCATCTACCAAATGTCTCCTCATGTATTTATGGGTCACCCGGGACCATCGGCACCATCCATTAATTTATTTTTTCATGCTAGAACTGCAACCTCAATGAATTACTTGTTCTTCCAGATTTCCTTCCACAACCCAAGACATCCAAATGTATCTAAATTTAGTTACGCATCTTGACTCTTCAATCTTCATCCATTCAAGCAACTAAAATAAGGTTCATAAATCATCAAATTTAAGGAACTTGGTTTTTCAGGGTGCTCCAAGGCAAAAAGGGTCATGGGATAGAAGAGGAGACACTAACAAATCTCTAAAGAAAAGAGCTTGCCATAAATATAATAGTATGACTGCCTAAAAAGTTTGTCAAACTTTGGGTAAAAATGCAGGTGTGGTTGGGCCTAAGCCGATTCCACACAGAATAACTTTAATCATTTCATTAGGCAAAGGACCTCGCAAACTTCACTAGGACCAGGGTTCTCCGTTACAATGAGGCAATCACCTCTATGTGTCTTATACTTTTGACAACTAAGTTCAAGACTGTTGTTACTTTGGAATAAGTAGATTAAGACCAGATGTGGATGATCCTAGCATTACTTCATATATGATTATTAAATCACATGGATAGCATTATAACATATCCAGGAAACACAAGCATACCATGAACATTATTGCCACTGTGGAAGCATGATTTATAGATCATCATCAACAGTAAGACTTCATACAATAATGATATAGATATGTATTAACATGGGTCACAATTCCAAATATCTATATCCTTTGGTCACCCTCGATCAGCCGCTTATACCAAAACAAACCTTGGTATCGCACAAACTCCCAACACTTGTATACACAATCCATAAACATCTCCCTGAGCAAGTGGGTTTGGAATACAAAAATACAAAACCTATGTGTCATCGTCTTCGATCCGTGTGCGTCATCCTTACCCAAGCACAGGCCACGTTAATCTCCCTTAGATCATTCCAAATTTATCAAATATATCGGCAATCTTTTAAGTAGCAGAATACCCACATAAGCCTCCGCCACGAAACAACACAAGATTCTAAGCCTCATTCTAAATAACCCACTAAACAAAAGGCACAAAATTTTTACCAATTATCAATCCAATACCCAATTACATCACAAACCCATCAGATTTTCATCCAAATAATGAAACCCCTTGTCATAAAAACTAAACATATTAACATAAAAGTAACACTAACCCCAAAATTGTAACACAAAACTTCATTATAAATACAATTAATTACATGAAAACCTAACAAACAATAAGCAAAATTATGAAACATAGAGAAAAGGGAGGGTTTACCTCTCTTGGCCAGCAGTATCCCAAATCTGAGCTTTGATAACCTTACTTTCAATAGTTAAACTCCGAGTAGCAAATTCAACCCCAATAGTAGACTTAGACTCCAGATTAAACTCATTTTTGGTAAACCTTGACAGCAAATTTGACTTACCTACACCAGAATCACCGATCAAAACAAGCTTAAACAAGTAATCATAATCATCATCTGCTTTATATCCTGCCATTTTAATGGAAAATTTAGGAAGTTTTTGGGTAATTCGACCGTTTGAGAGTGATGGGTTTTGCCCAGAATTGATTGAGGAGAGAGAAAGAGTAGTGGGAATTGCTTGTTAACGAAAGTCACTGGTGATTTTTGTGGGGTGATGTATTTTGAGTGCTTTATTCCTCTTTTTTGAACTTCTCTTTTTTTTTTTTCTCTTTAAACTGGGCTTTTTGGCTAATGGGGGTGTAGTGGTGACCTTGTGGGTAGACTAATTAAGTATTTTGGTATGTTAAAAAATTTGGTCGTTTATGATTTTAAATAATGTTATTTCCATGGAAGTTCCAATTAATCAATTCATTTTGAATTAATTAAAAAGTTGGCTTATTTTAAGCTAATCACGTAAATATTAGCTTATCTTTGACAAATTTTTCTTATAACTATAATTAATGTACCCAAACTAACCCAACTCACATTCACTCAACCCAAATCCAATCCAAACACTCGAATTGATAGCTCAAATTTCCACCAAAAATTTGGTCGCCGAGTCATAATTGATAGTTATTTTTAAGGGGCATCTTCCTTCTATCTTCAATTGCGAGAAATGACTAATTTACGTTTGCATAGATCATTTTAGAAATATATAAGTCGCCTTTGTAGTTTATTTTATCTTAGTTCATTTATTTATTTTATTAGTTTTATTATTACATAACTTATCTAGGGGTGTACAAAAATTGGCCCGGACCTGAAACCGGACCTGAACCGACCTGAACCGGACCGGACCTGACCCGGACCTGTTGATTCAGGTCCGGTCCCGGTTCTTAAAAATCCAGGTTCCCGGTCCCGGTCCGGACCCGGTCCAAACCCGGGGTTTTCAGGTCCGGACCTGAAACCCGGGAAAATCGTAATTAAAAAAAAAAAAAAAAAAAAAAAAAAAAAAAAAAAAGAAGAAAACCAAACTCTGAAAAATTGAAACTGAGTTTTCGTGGACTTATTTGTATTTTCGGTGGACTCATTTGTATTTTTGGTGTTTGAGAATCGGGACTTTATAGACTTTATGTAGTTTTGTAATTGATAATTTTGGTTTGTATGTAATTATTAAATTATGCAACAGGTCTAAAAATCACAAAACAGGTCCATATGCAGGTCCATATGCAGGTCCAACAGGTTTTGTATTAAAAAAAAAAACGAAAAAGACACAAAACAGGTCCATTCAGGTCCAAACCCGGACCGGACCTGATTTTTCAGGTCTGGCCCGGAACCGGACCTGTTAATTCAGGTCCGGTCCCCGGTCCTCATAATTACCCAATTCAGGTCCCCGGTCCAAACAGGTCCGGTCCAGGTCCGGTCCGGTTTTGGACCGGTGTACACCCCTAAACTTATCCATCTTGTGCATTATCATGCCTCATTTGTGTTTTCCTTGTTTCAGGTTGTTTTCATAACTATTTGAGCATGCTCGAATTGAAATAATTTGCCATTGATCGAATAATTGTTGAATGATGTTAATTTGAGGTCGTTAATCGATGATTATGTGCTTATGTACGATTTTGGATTACTAAGAAGTGTTAGGGTGAGTTTATATAGATTTGCACCTTTTCCAGCTATATGCACTTTGCAGTCTCTCCAGATCCACCCAACAAAAATTCCTACAGGTGTTCGGATTTTGTTTGTTTAATTCTCACCTATTCCAGCTATCTGTAGTCCTTCCAACAAACTTTCTACGTGTTTTGGTGCCGTTTTGATAGCGCTTGAACAAATTTGCATGAACAGCCAACCTCTTGCTGTCAATTATCCTACCAATAATCACTGCAAGAACATTCACCATTTTTGAAATGATGAAACCTACTAGTATCTCGCACTATAATCTCCCTGTCCTTTATCCTAGATATGTACTTGATAGCCACATGACAATCATCACAAACACGCAGATTCTTCATCACCCTTATAGGGAAACCAGGAGGAGTGATCATTAGAGCAAATGCAATGGCCAACCTCTCACTATGCTGAGCCAAATTTTGCTCCTTCGCTTCCGTATCCATGTCTTGCAAAACAGATCCAGTATCTGGAACATACCCACATTCCTTTATATCTGACATTAGTTCTTTTAGATATAAATAAATCTCTGTGGACCTAGGATGGTACTTTGCTCCCATGGTGAATTGGTGTACTTCATTCTTGAACTCAAACCAACTAACACCCGGTTCCTTCTTAATTCGTCTATCCCTCATGGCTTTTCTGACAGTAGAAACTTCATCCCACCTCTTTGAAGAGGCCTGGATGTTCGCAAGCATAACATAGGAAGCGGAATCCAGAGGATCAAGTTTGAGGACCTCTTCAGCGATCCTCTTAGCCATTTCAGTATTTTTATGGGTTTTACAGGCAGATAACAGAGTTTTCCATATAACAGCATCTGCTTTAGTAGGCATTGATCTGATCATATCTTCTGCTTGCAAGAGACAACCAGAACGCCCAAGTAGATCAACAGCACAAGTGTAATGCTCCAACCTAGGTTTTAATCCATATTTCTTTACCATTAGGTCAAGATATTCAAGTCCTTCATCCTTCAGTCCACAATGACTACAAGCATATAACAGGCTCAAGAAAGTAACATCGTTTGCCTCCACTCCTTCTTGTTCCATTTGCTTGAAAAGCTCAATGGCTTCCCCTCCTTTGCCATGGAACCCATAAGCAGATATCATTGAGCTCCAAAGGACAACATCTGCATCTTTACACTGCATGAAAGCTTTGATTGATTCTTCTAAGCATCCGCACTTAGAATACATGCTTATCAATGAACTAACTAGAGGAACGACAGCAGTAACCCCTCGCTTGATCACCTCAGCGTGTATTTGAAGGCCTTGTCCCAGGGTCCCCAATTCAGAACATGAACTAAGGACACTAACAAATGTAATTCTATCGGGTTGGAACCCCGCCTTTTTCATTATATTATACTGTTCTAAAGCACCCTCAGGGCACCCATTTTGTGCTCTTCCGGCAATTAGAGTATTACAAGCAATCACATTATGAATAGGCATCCCTTGAATTACTCTCTCCCCTTCCTCCAAACTCCTACACCTCATATACATATTCGCCAATGCATTGCTAACAACCAAGCTCAGACCATGACCACTCTTGATGGCATAAACATGAACCTCCCTCCCACAAAGCAAAGCTCTCAGACCAGCACATCCTCGAAGCACACTACCCAACGTAAACTCATCCGGCGAAAACCCCAACAAATGCATCCTCGAAAACAAACCCAACCCCTCCTCATTATGCTCATACTGTATCATCCCCGTGACCATCGCATTCCAAGTCGCAACATTTCGTTCAGGCATTTCATCAAACACCTTTTGTGCACTCTCAATATCACCACTTTGCAAATACCCATTAATCAATATGTTACCAGACATCACATTCTTCCTATACATCACATTATACAGCACTAAAACAGTCTCCAATTCCCCAAGTTTACCATACATATTCAACAAATGATTATTAACGAATTTATCTAAATAACACCCAGATGTAATAGTAATAGCATGAAGCTGTTTTCCCCATGAAATCGAATTTTTGGAAATACAACCATGAATTAAATGAGAAAATAGATTTGAGTCTGACCATATTTCATATTTGAAGCTCTCAAATGCTTCTTTTATGCGTCCCTTGGAGCAGAGATTGGTTAGCACGTTAATCGAGGAGGTGTTCAATGGTTGACTAGAGTATGAAGAAGTAGAACAAGTGTTGAAAGATGTTCTGATAATCAGAGAGAAGCAGCAGATTGAGCGAAGCGATTTGATACCGGACTGCATCATTGCGCGACGTTTATACAAGTTCGCATAGGAGCATGATAAATAGTAGAGGTAATCATTGGCCGGGCCGGGCCGAAGCTAAAAAACATGCCCATTTCTCGGGTCGGGCCAAGCGTCGGGTTGGAATTTTTGTACCCAAACCTGCCCAAAATGATTGGCCATGCTGGCTTTTCGGGCTGGGCCTAAAAATCAACAAAACATGTGTAAAAATGTAATCCTAAACCCGCCCAAAAATTTTAATTTTTCGGGCCAAAAAATTCTGTCCAAAACACGCCCAAATTTGGGTTGGGCCAACGAGCCGGGCTAACCTTGATCACCTCTATTAAGTAGTTATGTCAGGGGTAAAAAAGAAATTTACGTCATTTAATTAAAATGAATAAAAACTTTTGCATGCCCCCGGTTTACAATAATTTTATTGTACATCGAATATTTTGCGAAAAGTGACCCTTTTTTCTTATAAAAGTGACCTTTTTTTTACAAAACTGACCCATATTTTCATAAAAGTGACCCATTTTTTACACAAAAGTAACCCTTTATTTTCACAAAAGTAACCCTTTATTTTCACAAAAATGACCCTTTTCATACATAAACGTTACCCAATATATCCATAAACATTACCCTTTCATACATAAACGTTACCCCTTTTTACCCACAAAAGTTATCATTTTCATGCATAAAAGTCGAAGTAACTCTTTAATGCACAAAAGTGACCAACCCCATAAAATCACATAAGTTACCCTACAAAAATTACTTGTAATATTTATTTTGAGTAAAACACTGAAAAATTAATGAATTTAATTAAAAATATACGAATAAAAAGATTAAAAAAAAAAACAAGTCAGAAATAAATTCAAACAAGTTCAATTTCGCCGTTTTGATTAGTAGAATTGTCTTCTTCTTCATAAGCTTAAAATTTACCATTTTAATCTAAAACTGAAGAAGTAAAAAAGAATACTCAAATTTGATGGAAGAAAAAGATTGCTTGAACCACCAAAGAAAATGGAAGAAAGAAGTACAATAGTTCATCAATGGAGAGGATCGAGAGAGGAAAAATCCAGGAGAATTGAAAGAATCTTTGAAAGTAGGGAAATGAGATAAAAGAAGTACTATGAGGGAGTGAGAGAAAATGGAATATAGAGTAAAAAAAATGAGTTACTCACAAACCCACACTTGCTTTATACGGTCCGATTTACAATGAATTTATTGTAAACCGTTTTTTTTTAAAAGTTTGTGATAAAAGAAAAGCTGAAAAGGGTTTCAAAATGAAAAGAGGAGTTGATAGTTGGTTTTAGACTTCGTAGGCTGTTGAGGCATGAGAGAGAAAACAATTTCATTTCCCAAAATTTTTTAGGGAGAGCAAAGTGAAACCCTAAAAAATAAAAAATTGCGACCAAGTTCGGGTAAGGGTATTTGGAGCTTGAATTTGTCGATCTGTGTTCGTCGTCGTTGCCTTGAAAAATTCTTGGGCTATATCACTATGGACTCAACTAGATGAAAAGAAAAAAGAAAATTTAAAGGCATAATAAAACAAAATAACTGAAAAAGAAAAATGGACCACCACTTTGTTCAAATTTTACCCTACACCCTAGTGTAAGGAATAGTTACTACCTACACCCCCCATCCCCATTCCATTTTCTTCCATACCTGATATTTTTTTTTCCTTGCTCAATAGTCCAATACGGACAACTGGACATGCGGACACTCTAGTACCCAATCACTTTGTATTCGCCCTTCTCTCTCCTCCATATTTTACCCTTCTTTTCTTCTCTTCTCAAATTCTTTCATATTATGTGTGTTTTTTTAAATGTATCGTGATTTTGATTTTGTGTTTTTAGTTATATTTGCATGCTTAATTTGATAAATTTTGTTGATTTCGAGCTTGTTTTGATGCGTTTTGAAATTTTTTTTTTTTTTGAAGTTATTTAATTAATAATTATTTGAGTGATATTAATTGTTGTTGTGGTTGCAGTGGCGATGAAACTATAGTAGTTATATTGAGTGGTGGATGAAGTTAAGGTTGGGTCAAAGTAGGAGACAACAAATCAAAGAATTGAGGATGAGAAAGAAAAAAATGTTTGAAACTGAAATTATCATATACATGTTCGTAACTTGTGACCATGGAAATGGACATATTTACCCTTTAAAATTGTACATATTTGCGTTTTGAAATGAACATGTACGACAGATGTAGTTATTTGTTTTCATATATGGTTCATTATAATAAAAGGCATGTGAATGTCTAAGCATATAAAAAAATAATCTTATTATTATTATTATTATTATTTGACATCTATATTAGTTGATACATTGCATTTAATGTGTTTTTTGTCAAAGTAATTTATTTTCTAATAATATATTGTTGTGTAGGACATTCATATATGGACTTGATTTGTAATCTTCGTTAACAATTATTTGAACATTTATTGTAAGATTGAGCGTAATACTTTTTGTATATTTTAAGTTTAAATGTAATTGAAAATATGTGTTTCTTTATTATGAGCATGTATCATTTAAAATATGTATACATTTGAATGTACATCAAAATTGAAATAACAATACCATCAAAATAAAATTGCACGTTTATATGTACGAAAATGAACATTTACGGTGTATCAATATCACAATGTATATTTATTAAATGAATTGATCACGTATCAATATGTAAATGAACATGTATAAATATGAACATGAACATTAATGATTTTGAGAATGAATATTAAGACAAGTGTTGGCATGACTCTAACCTAGTTTCAACCCAGTTTCATCTTAAACTATCTTTTTACTCAGCCATATGAAAATATTCATGTAGACACCTAAAAATGTCTCCCCAAAACCAAACCCGATGTTAAATAACCTTTCACCGCCTCTATTGGTCGGGTTTAGTATTTAATCCCGAGAGTGCTTAAAAAATCGTATTTTATTAAATTTATACCTTTGAAAGGTCCATGGATTAGTCTTGATGTTTGGTAAAAGCATAGTTTTAATTTTAGCCCAAGCTTATTAATTAATTTTAAGCCCAAACCTTTTTTATTTTATTATTTTATTATTTATTTTTGGCCCAAACATTTTATTTATTTTTATTTTATTATTTTCTTATTTTAGCCCGAATGATAAAAGTCAGAAAAAAGCCCGAAATTATCAATCGGCACTTAAAAAGCCGAAAGAAATTAGGGTTAAAAATGAATTTAGACGGAAAAATGGACTGGAAGTGACCGTGTCACGGTACAGTCTGACCGTGTCACGGGAACCCTTCCCGTCTGACGGTGGGACTTCCCGTGACACGAGAGGTTTGCTGTGACATGCACAGGACGTTCCGTGTCCTTTCCGCGTAAACCCTTAACGCGTTTTTTATTCCGTTTTCTGAAAATTTCCCGCGTCACTCCAAAACTGTACCGTGTCACGGGGAAGTGTATCGTCTGACGGTACAGTCTGACCGTGTCACGGTACAGTCTGACCGTGTCACGAGATACTTTTTTAGGGTTTTTATCATTTTAGGGTTCCGTGTGCTCCATCAACACATTTTCCCTATAAATACCCCCTCATTTCTGATGTACGGGGCAACCAGAATTTTATTATTCTTATTTTCTTTCTTCTATGCTACGAGCCTAAACACTAGCCTACCCTTTTCACTTCAAAATTCCTTCTTCAAGCACTCAAAGGAGTCCATATTTTACTCGAGGTTCTGTCCTTAAGCCAAGGCGTGAAAGGTAGAATCGTTTGAGGGTTTGGCCCCAAAATCAACTTTAATTTAATTTAATTTAATTTAATTATTGTTTTATTATTTCCTTGAAGTTACTAACTCGTTTATTATTTTGTAGTTGCAAGCAAATAGATTCAAAGTAAGGATCATGCTCTTTTATTATTATTATTATTATTATTATTATTATTATTATTATTATTATTATTATTACTATTATTATTTTTCTAACAATTTTATGTTGTTGGGATTGTGATTAAATTGGTATTAATGTTGATTCTATTATTATTTTTATTATGATCACCATATTGCATGTTTAAAGGGAATATGTAATTGAAAATCACTCCTAATAAGATAATTTGGACAACCGGTTTAGGTTCGTTTTAATCTTGTTATTTAATTCAAGTGATCATGATATTTTAGAATTATGTGTGCATTAATATTAAACCAATTTAGTTAAATAATAGTTTTGAGCGAATTGAATTATTGTTTGTATGCCTTTGAGATCACAGGAATGCTTTTCAATATAAGAATCGAGTAGAGGCCAATACGGGCGAATGTGACTCCATGACTCACTTCGTACCATCATCCTCGATCCTCCTTTCGTGGTTCCGAACCATATGGAGTTAGTAATCTCATGGATTATGAATGGGGTGTAACCTTCACGGGTCAATCGTTGTTGCCTATCGTTGTCCCTTATCGTGGTTGCCTTTTTATGATCCGTGAACGGTTTACAAGTTCCTTAAAAACTTGTTGGCGGCTCCCTACTTTATTTGTCCCTAACGTTGTCCCTAATCGTAATGTCAATTCCCACTTCCTATGAGTGCCAAGCATATTTACAACATGCTTTTTACGTAGGCGCACTTCAAACGACGCCTACAATTTGGCGACTCCACTGGGGAGGATTCTTAATTATTTATCGATTTGGGTGATCGGTATTTAATTAAGATGAGTGGATGAAACTTGAAAGATTCTTGAAAAAATATTCCTGTGATTAATTTGGCATTTTTGCATCTGCACAGACGTTTTAACGTCGCATTCAGGTCTGTCCCGTAGGAAAAATTGGATAACTTGGTTGCGCGCAAAAGCAAATAGGGTACCAGTCAGATTTTCTGACTGCAGTGTCACGGCAGAGTCTGCCGTGTCACGGTACAATGTACCGTCTGACCGTACACTGTACCGTGACACGGGAAAGTCTGTCGTGCCACGGCAGTCCAAAAATCAGTCCGGTGGCCTATTTTCTTTTCTCACAGTCGACTTCCTTCAATTTTTCTGAAAAAACGTATGTGTTCTACATGCGTCTTAGCCCTGGGGGATTTAAGCTCTATCGACCCAAAAACGCTCATGGCAATAAGGGTTCATCCAAGTTATTAAATCCACCCAACCATGGAGTCG